TAGCGCAGATGTTTTCGCTCATAAGCCTCATCTACTGAGTCCTCCCAGGGTACTGTGAGCTCAATGATGAAGACCTTCTTGAGCGAACGGGACCAGAGCACCATGTCAGATCTTAGGGTGGTGGTTGCGATCTCCGGAGGAAACACAAGTTGCCGGCCAATGTCAGCTAGCATTTTCCAGTCGCGGGCCAAGCGCAGCTGGTCTCGCTCTATTGGTGTAGAGCCGCTCTTCGGTGGTTTAGCCCCTTCGCGGACAAAGGTCGTCCGTAAGGGGTGTGATGCTGCTGGGGGTGGTAGGGAGTTGGTGGCAGCTCGCTTGTCCTCCAGGGCGGACGCAAGGTTTTTAAGGACTTGGTTGTGATGCCAAGTGTAGCGTCCTTGGGTGGGGCTTGTTTTACACCCTGTAAGAATGTGCCTGAGGTTGGCTGGCATGGAACAGAGGGCACAGTCCGGATCTTCACCATACCATTGGTGAAGATTAACTGGTGTTGGAAGGATGTCATATGTTGCTCTGATGGAAAAGCTCAACCGCCTCGCTTCCATGGCCCACAGATCCTTCCAGCTGATCTTCCTCTTCTCCACACTGTCCCATCGAGTCCACTGTCCTTGTTTGGCAAGAGAGACTGCCTTGGCCCACCTTGCAGCCTCCTCCTGATGGCGTACTTCCTGCACTACCATCTTCCGCCGCTCTGGTGCAGTGGCCTTACTCCAAGCAGCACGGCTAGTTAGCCCAAGGCCTCCTCTCCCTTGCTGAACATGACCCACAATGTCAGCATGTCTGAGGGCTGCTGTTGCCTCCTGGACTGCTTTTCCTGGCCTCCATTTGCGCCCAGTTGCCAAGGTCGGCGCGTTGTTGCTCACCACTGGGTCTCGAGATTCATTCAGTGTCATCTGGAGCCTGGTTTTTGCACACTTGAATTCCTCGGTTAGACTGGTGAGGGGCAGCTTGAGGACACCATCTCCATAGAGGCCTATGGTGGTAAGGCATCGTGGAACTCCGAGCCACTTCTTTAAGTAGCTCGTGGCTCCTCTTTCCATCTTCTCCACTGTTGAGATTGGAACCTCATACACTGCTAGGGGCCACAACACCCGGGGTAGGAGACCAAACTGCAGACACCGGGCCTTTAACTTTCCAGGTAGCTGGGTGTTGTCGATGGACTGTAGGCTACTACTGATGTCTTTGCGCAGCTGTTGCACCTGGTCTTTGTCCTTCAGGCTTGCATCATACCACCTTCCAAGGCTTTTTACCGGCTGCTCAGACACTGAAGAATTTCAGGTCACAGAGTACTCCCTTCACAATCGAGATGCTGCGTGACTTGGATGGTTTAATCTTCATACGGGCCCAGCTGATGTTCTCCTCGAGTTTTCTGAGCAGTCTCCTGGTGCATGGGACAGTGGTGGTCAATGTTGTAATGTCGTCCATGTAGGCTCTGAGTGGAGGGAGGCGAAAACCAGAGTCGACTCGCTGTCCACCAGCAACCCATTTTGAGGATCTGATGATAACCTCCATTGCCATTATGAATGCCAATGGAGAAATGGTACATCCCGCCATTATACCTACATTCAGGCATTGCCATGAGGTGGTGAACTCTGAGGTGGTGAAGCAGAACTGCAGATCCTGAAAGTACGACTTCACCAGGGTTGTGATGGTATCCCTCTTAGGGCCGTGTCATAAACGTGTTGCCTCCAAGTTCAAGTGTATGCCTCTGTAGAACCAACTACACTGGTGTTGGCCTTCCCTAGGCCGACTCAGCCTCAAATGAGTACCCGGTGCGGTGTGTAAACATCACCACTTGGGAGATAAAGACGGCCAGGCGTGGTGTTGGCCACCCACCCGCTCGTGTGCCGTGCCGACCTTTAAGAGGTGCTCACTCGCAGAACGTGCAAACATGCGGGCGATATTTGCATGTGCCATGGGTATGCATGCAGGCCTTACAATCTTAAGATTGCCCAAGTCGATTGCGGAAGGGAGCACGTGACTAGCAACCGCAGCCAGCCTGAAAGGTATACTGGATGTTGTGTGCCGGGAGGGATTACTCCCTGCCTGGGTTCGATCACCGGCTGGGGTCAATTTCAGGAGCTGGTAGGAGCAATTTCAGGACTGGTAATCTCCTCTAAGGTCGACTTAGCCTTCAATGAGTACCTGGTGCAATGTGTTTTTTAAACACGTTACCACCAGGGAGACAAAGGCGTGGTGCTGGCCACATCAAACCACCCACTCGAGCGCCATTCTTGCCTTGACAGGTACTCGCTAACAACACTTCCTCCAACAATCTTGCTTGACTGCACGACGAGAGAATAATAATGTTGGTTTACATATTGCGTGCTAGGACGGCGACTTCAAGCGCAACACAACCGGAATCTCAGGACGAACGTCTCCGCGCATGGCGAGATATCATCGCCAACCAAACTTGCCATGCCCCTGCAACGGCCTTGCGACAACCACAGCTCGACAGCCGGGAGCAGCGGCATCTTGCGTAACGTAGCTTGCGGCAGAAGCCCAACCAAAGGGTTCAGCGCAATTGCAACTCGTCAGCACGAGTGAAGCCACCGTTGCCAACTGCTGCCAAGTGTGCCTGAGAGGCCTGTGTTGAGCAGCCCCCCCCCGCCTCCCGAGTCGCGTCGCTATCGAGTGCGCAGGCGGTGCAACTGCACAGAGGCGTGCGGGCCAGAGGGGGGTGCGGGGGGGGCAGGTGCCGGGCTACGAAGACGAAAGGGGGGGCAGGGTGAGAGGGGGGGTGGCATTCCATTCCTTGGACCAGGGCCCATGCCATCAACGCCACTCCGCTGCCCCTACTCCGCACGGTCAGGACGAATGGCAACATCGTCCAGGCACTTGCAGATGAGGAGGCAATGTGTCTGTAGCGTGGCGGTTGGCGCGCTGCGCTACGGATCCCGGCGGCGGTCTGAGTTCGGGAAGTGCTCGCGACAACAACATTTGCAGTGCTCGCGCGTAGGGGTAGCACCCAAACACGTGGACGTCTAGAAAAGGGGTGCCGGGATGACGAGATGTTAACTACCTCGCCTGGTATACAGGAGGTCGTGGGTTCGATCCCAATCCTGTTGCCTGCTGTTTATTTATAATGGGGAGTGGTACTTCAGCGGTTACCGCGTTGCGCTACGAACCTGGCGAACCAGAATTCGATTCCCACTCACGGCCAACACCGGTGACGATTATTTGAACCGGTCCTGGGCCTCCCCTGGGATTGCGTATTCTCGCCGTGGTCGCGTGGAATTTTCTCCGAGTCCTCCGGTTTCACCCTCCACATTTCGAAACATGCGTTTAGAGTATTTGGCTTGCTTTAAATTTGCACGTGATAAGCCACTTTGTTGAGCTATCATTTGTGGCAAAGTTGCTTCTGAAAAAGAGCTCTATAGCCCAATGGGCCTTACCTGGTCAAATAAAAATAGTAAAAAAAAATATCTCATTCGTGACTCAAACGTCATCGCACCTCCTGGCTTTGACATTCCTCCTCGAAGACACCGGTGGTGGAACCATCAACCGCTTTCAGAACATCAACAACTTCATGAATGGGAAATTCAAGATGCAAACCACAGTAGTGCGTGCGATTGTGGCCGTGCAACACAAACTATCGACCACATAGTAGACCCATAGACACATAGAGATACATAGAGACTCGGAGAGATACATGGGGTCTATGGGCAATGTTCAGTCTATGGGCAGTGTTCAGTGTATGGGAAAGTTCAGTGTACGGGCAGCGTTCAGTGTACGGGCAGCGTTCAGTGTACGGGCAGTGTTCAGTGTATGGGCAGCGTTCAGTGTATGGGCAGTGTTCAGTGTATGGGCAGCGTTCAGTGTACGGGCAGTGTTCAGTGTACGGGCAATGTTCAGTGTATGGGGAATGTTCAGTCTATGGGCAGCGTTCAGTGTACGGGCAGTGTTCAGTGTACGGGCAGTGTTCAGTGTATGGGCAGTGTTCAGTGTATGGGCAGTGTTCAGTGTACGGGCAGTGTTCAGTGTACGGGCAATGTTCAGTGTATGGGGAATGTTCAGTCTATGGGCAGCGTTCAGTGTACGGGCAGTGTTCAGTGTACGGGCAGTGTTCAGTGTATGGGCAGTGTTCAGTGTATGGGCAGTGTTCAGTGTATGGGCAGCGTTCAGTGTACGGGCAGTGTTCAGTGTAGGGCAATGTTCAGTGTATGGGGAATGTTCAGTCTATGGGCAGCGTTCAGTGTACGGGCAGTGTTCAGTGTACGGGCAGTGTTCAGTGTATGGGCAGTGTTCAGTGTATGGGCAGTGTTCAGTCTATGGGCAGTGTTCAGTGTATGGGCAGCGTTCAGTGTACGGGCAGTGTTCAGTGTATGGGCAGTGTTCAGTCTATGGGCAGTGTTCAGTGTATGGGCAGTGTTCGGTGTATGGGCAGCGTTCAGTGTATGGGCAGCGTTCAGTGTACGGGCAGTGTTCAGTGTATGGGCAGTGTTCAGTCTATGGGCAGTGTTCAGTGTATGGGCAGTGTTCAGTGTATGGGCAGTGTTCAGTGTATGGGCAGTGTTCAGTGTATGGGCAGTGTTCGGTGTATGGGCAGCGTTCAGTGTATGGGCAGTGTTCAGTGTATGGGCAGTGTTCAGTGTATGGGCAGTGTTCAGTGTATGGGCAGTGTTCAGTCTATGGGCAGTGTTCAGTGTATGGGCAGTGTTCAGTCTATGGGCAGTGTTCAGTGTATGGGCAGTGTTCAGTCCATTGGCCAGATAGTAAAGCCACTGTGGCCTGCGCTCCATCAAAGGAAGATCAACAAGACGACACAACCTCTCTCTCTCTCTCCTGAAGCCATCTCGTCGTGGCCAGCACACAAGCACATTGCCCTGCATACGCACGACTCGTAACAGCCTCCTCAAGGCGACATGGCGAGCAGGAGGAGGGAGGGGGGTAGTGGATAGTTGTCTGCGTGCGCCCTGTTGTGGTGGTGGTGGTCGTGGTGGTGGTGGTGGTAGTCGTGGTGGTGGTCGTGGTGGTGGTAGTCGTGGTGGTGGTGGCGGTACCTCGAGCGCGTCCGCGTCGAGCTCGCGCCACAGCACGAGGCGCGCGCGCGTGCACCGCTGCGCGTGCGCGCGCATGGGGATGAGCGCGTGGCCGAGCGCGCGGTGCTTCCTGTGCACGTCCACGGCCAGGGCCGAGAGGCGCAGCGTCCGCTCGCTCAGACTCCCGTGGGACACCTGCAAGGGACAACGACACAGCCCCCCCCCACCACACCCCGTATAGCCTTCGATGGATTCTCCCGGGGCAAGTGCTGCTCGGGAGTAGCAGCGGCGGCTATGAAGGCAGACGGCGCAGTTCACGACGGGGTGGGCGGACAACACCACGCACGGCCGCCTTTGTCTCCCTCCCCCCCCAGCGGCGATGTCTGCACATCGCTCTCAGGTATTCACGTGAGGCTGAGTCGACCTCGAGGAAGCCCAGGACCCGTGTTGATCGTGGTCGCAGGATTGTGTTGGGTAGCTACGCGGGGGGAGGGGGTTGCGGCTAGGCGGAGGAGGCCTTCATCCAGAGGTGGATTGGCCGTGGCTGCCGTGGCTGACGGTGTCATGACACGGCACGCTGCGGGGTCGTGGCGTCTCGGCGCACTCGCGAGGGAGCGGAGCGCCGTGGTGAGGAGGGAGCGGAGCGCCGCGGTGAGGAGGGAGCGGAGCGCCGCGGTGAGGAGGGAGCGGAGCGCCGCGGTGAGGAGGGAGCGGAGCGCCGCGGTGAGGAGGGAGCGGAGCGCCGCGGTGAGGAGGGAGCGGAGCGCCGCGGTGAGGAGGGAGCGGAGCGCCGCGGTGAGGAGGGAGCGGAGCGCCGCGGTGAGGAGGGAGCGGAGCGCCGCGGGAGGTCGCGGAACGTAGCAATCTGTGGCTGTCGGGGCGGGTCGATTGTGACGCCAGGCTGCACGCACACGCGTGTTGATGATGATGGTGGTGGTGGATGAGAGTTTTGTTGTTGTTGATGATGGTGGTTATGATGGATGATGCTGATGATACTGCGACTGCTGCTACTGATGATGGTGATGGATGATAGTTTTGTTATATTTGATGATGATGATGATGGTGGTGGTGGTAATAGTGATCCTGATTGTGATACTGCGACTGCTGCTAATGTTGGTGGTGCTGGAGCTCATATTGCTGCTGATGATGATGGCTATGATGCGTGATAGTGTTGTTGACGATGATGATGTTAGTGGTGGTTGTAATAATCATGCAGGATAAATTGGTGATAACGGTAGTGGCGGTTTTGATGGTGGTGATGATGATGCTACTGCTGCTTCTGCTAATGATCATACCGCTGATGATTATGCATGCTACTTCTGCAGCTGATGATTATCCTCATGGTATCAATGCAGGTTTTTGATCATCATCATTGATTTTAAAAGTATACAATGCAACTGCTGTTGAGAGAGAGAGACAGAGATAACTCGGCAGTGCGAGGAGGAACCACAGACAACAAGCGGGGGTGGCGAATTTCGCCGCGGTGAGCCGGCGCCAACAATTGCCCAAGCTCTGCGGTCCTCTACATGTAAGGATGTTGTCGGCGTATTTCCCGCATACTCCGATGAGCGCGGTTGGCTACGCGCAGACTGAACGAAGTGCAACATATGTACGCACGTACAATTAAATGATGGGTATTTACACGGTGTGGGAAGAAAACCTACAAACGTGGGGAGGGCAAACACTCTATCCCATACAGATGGAACAGATGGAGATTAGTTCACACTTGCTGCATGTACCACATTGTTCCGAACAAGTTGCTGCTGCCACCACAGCGCTCGATCACAGGCAGACACTCGGTGCAACAGGGTAGCCACAAGCGCACTAACACAGAAATAAATCAACCATCATCATCGTCTTCGTCATCATTGTCGTTGTCTTCATCATCATCGTCATCATTGTCGTCATCATCGTCGTCGTCTTCATCATCGTCATCATCATCGTCGTCGTCTTCATCGTCATCACCATCGTCGTCGTCATCATCGTCGCCTTCGTCGTCGTCACCTGGAAGACGAACGTCTCGTTGAAGGTGGGGTGCGCCGTCTTGCGCCGGACCTTGGACTGCACGTGCCTCCTCTCGTCGGGCAGGAGGAAGACCTTGACCAGGGGGTCTCCCACCTCCTCGGCGTCGCGTGGTGCCGCGCGGCGGACCACCCCCCCCGGCAGCCACAGGTTGCGTCCCTTCAGCAGCGTCACGTGGAGGCGCTCGGAGGCGAGCTCGTAGTGGAGCGAGAAGCAAAGGCGCGGAGTGTCGGGGCCGCTCGGGCCAGCCGCGTGCTCCCACTCGCCCTCCTCGTCGCCCGTTGAGCCGTACAGCTCGGGGTTTATGGAGCCCAGCGCGAAGCTCTCTAAGTTGGGGGGGGGGGGTGACGATGTTCGTTTATACTCTTTGATTCTTTCGGTAAAGTCACGTAGGTAGAAAAATAAAACAAAATTAAAATAATATATCACGACGTTTCGATCGCAACACACGCGGTCGTCCTCGGGCGGAAAAAATAATCCAGCAGTGGATATATTATTTTTTATTTTTCCACTTACGTGACTTTACCGAAAGAACCAAAGAGTATAGATTCCTGCAGTCACGACAGCTTCAAATCAAGATTGATGCTCGTTTATTTGGAAAGAGACTCGTTTTCATTTAGCGCCTCGGCTTTGGCTATAAATCGTGTTCGTTGTGAAGTTACTTTTGGTGGGGGTGGGGTGGGGGGTGTTAGATCGCGTTAATGTGTCGTACACGCGCCGCCTCCACGCGACACAGCCAATTAGGAAGGTTGGTCGCGTGAACAAAATATACCAATTTGTTACATGCTCGAGTTGTCCGTGTTTCGGGTTTGCTCTCCAACACACCGGCGGCGCTGAAGCTGTTGCTCATTGGCACGTTTTGTTCAGACCGTGACACACCAAACGATGGATTTGGTGTGGGGGGCGGGGGGTGGGGTGACCACACATTGATCGCGTGATTTCCCGGAGGCTTGAGATGATTTAGAGATCAGAGATCTGCAGATAGAAGGGAGCGATTTGGAGTCGGGGGTGGTCACGCGGAAGTCACGTGATTTACCGAATGCTTGAGCTGGGGCGCCACGGTGGCTGGGAGATGTTAAATATCTCGCCTGGTACGCAGGAGGTCGTAGGTTCGATCCCAACCCTGACGCCTGCTGTATATTTGGAGTTTTCTTGAGTTTGCGTATAGCTCTCTCCGTGATCGCGTGGATTTTTCTCCGGGTTCTCCGGTTTTCCCCTCCACGTTCAAAATCACGCGTTTAGAGTGTTTGGCTGCTATGAATTTCCACGCGATGATGAGCCACTTCGTCGGGCTATCATCTGTGGCCAGGTCGCTTCTGAAAAATAACTACATAGCTCGGTGGGCCTTACCTGCTGAAATAGAAAAAAAATAGTTTATTTTTTACTTATTCTCTCTGGTCGACTTTTCCGACAAAATCCGAGACTCGGCATCGCAATCGCCACCGCTCCTTGTTGGCACGTGGCCCGGCCACTCGGTATCACCACAACACGTGGCCCGGCCACTCGGCATCACCACAACGTGGCCGCGATTTCTCGCGGCACGAACGAACGGACGTGCATCCCTGAGCGATGCGTCGTGGAATTTGCACGATCGATGCGTTGGCATTGTGCAAGAGCTATAAACGCGTACGGTGTTACCCAACCACACTTATTAATTATTACGAGCATGATTTTATTTAATAAAAAAAAAACAATTATATTCCTGGTCTAAGCAACGAAGAGTTGCAAAACGCAGCAATCCACACGGGTTGATAGTGACAGAGAGAAAGAGCTCTAGACACACAGATGCAAACACAGAGAGCTCGAGAAATAGACACGGAGAGACACGAAGACACCAAGGGAGGGCAAACAGACAGCGATAGACTCGCAGAGACAAACCCGCAGAGACACGCAGGGAGACAGAAAGAGAGAGACAACAAGACACAGAGACACGCAGGGACCCACACACACACACGACAAGACACAGAGACACGCATGGAGACACAGAAAGAGAGAGAGACAACAAGACACAGAGACACGCAGGGACACACACACACGACAACAAAGACAAAGATCCCCTGTATAGCCTTAACAGACTGTAGGGGCAAGTGCTGTTAGCGAGCACCTATGAAGGCCGGAACGGTACACGAGGGGGTGGGTGGCCAGCACCACGCCCGACCGCCTTTGTCTCCCTAGTGACGATGTTTACACACCGCACCAGGTACTCATTTGAGGCTGAGTCGACACAGACACGCAGGGATACACGCACACAATAAGACGCATAAACACGCTGGGATACACACACACACGACAAGACACAGAGACACGCAGGGACACACACATATACACGACAAGACACAGAGACACTCAGGGACACACACACACATAACGAGACACAGAGACACGCAGGGACACACACACACGACAAGACACAGACACACGCAGGGAGACCGCTGCACGCACCTCGCGGCCGGTAGCCGAAGGCCCTCCTTGGCTCCACACCGCCGGGGTCAAATCCTCCCCCTGCTCCCCCTCCTCCTCCTCCCCCCGCGGGCAACCCCCGCTCCTGGGCGCGAACCTCTCCCGCGCCTCCAGCCTCCCGTCTCGGCGGCACCACGAACGGGATCGGCCGCTCCATGGAGCCGCTGTCATAGAGCCACGCGCGCCCGGCTCCCGTTATTCCCGCAGTTCGCGACGCCTCGGGGTGAGTGGTTTGGGTGGGTGGGTGAGTGTGTGGGTGGATGAGTGTGTGGGTGGGTGTGTGGGTGGGTGGGTGAGTGTGTGGGTGGGTGAGTGGGTGTGTGAGTTTGTGGGTGAGTGAGTGTGTGGGTGAGTGTGTGGGTGAGTGTGTGGGTGGGTGGGTGTGTTGGTGGGTGAGTGTGCGAACGGTGCGTGTACGTGCGGGTGAGTGAGTGTGCAGTGTGTGTGGTGTGCGTGGGTGGGTGTGTGAGCGAGGGTGTGAGCGAATGTGTCGATGGGTGAGTGTGTGTGTGGATGGTTGAGCGTGAATGTGTGTGTGGGTGAGCGCGAGTGAGTGTGTGAGTGAGTGAGCGTGAGTTTGTGGGTGGGTGAGCGTGAGTGGTGGGTGGGTGAGCGTGAGTGAGTGAATGTGGGTGAGTGAATGTATTTGCAGTGTTGAGCGCGCGAGGTATAGAAAGGGCGCGCGGGCCGTGCCGTGTGACTCCGTGCTTAGCCGGTGGCCAGATGAAGCGGTGTTATTATTGCGATCTGTCGTTATTTCCTAAAGGGGCGTTCTCGCGCAGCGACGAGTGACATTGGGCATGGCAAATGTCGGTGGAGGAGGAGAGGGAGGGAGAGGGGGTGTTGAGGGCGATGAGGGTGAGGGAGGTAGGAGCTTGGCAGAGAGAGAGAGCGGGTGGGTGGGGGGCGAGAAGCGGCAAGGAGGCAGCAGCACGTCAGGAATGTTTGCTCGAGATTGTTGAGACGCATCGAGCGCGACCCGCCTGCTGCGCTCGTGCCAGCTGTTGTCTCGGCGCGTCGTGGCCGAGCGCACAACGAGACATCTCGCACGCATCGGTGCCTCGTGTTTGCTGTAAGAATTTACCGGTTCTCTCTCGCTCTCTCGCTGGCTCTCCGTCTCGCTCTTTCTTTTTTTCCGACTCTTTTTTTTTATCGAACAAATAAAAAAAGGAGTCCGATAATCCCACCCTACCGCGTGAAACGTATCCTGAAATGCACCGCTAGCGTTTTCTGAACGAGGTCTGTACATACGTACGCATGTGTTGAACTTCTTTCGCACCCTACCGTGCTGATCGCAGGGTACCAAGGATTGTGAAGGCAACGCGAATGCGTAAAACTTCACGGATCGGCGCAGGTCGCTTTGACGCGAGCGCGGTTTGTGGATTTCATTGAGCGAGGGATTCCCACCACGGGTGTTGGAATTTTTTGCGAATGTCGACAGAGAACGAGAGAGCGAGCCGACGAGTTCCTTTACCCCCCCGCCCCACCGTCGGTGACTCGGGAGAGACGGGCAGCCTGCAGCCCACGTGGCTGGTGGCTCCAGCTACTCCCACCACCTTGTGCCACTCGTGAATCTAAACTAAACTATTATTTATTTTTTACCAGGTAAGGCCCACCAAGCTTGCGAGATATTTTTTCAGAAGCGGCCTGGCTATCACACATGATAGCTCAGCGATGTTGGCTTATCATCACGTTGCCATTTATGGCAGCCAAACGCTCTAAACGCGCGATGTTGATTGTAAATGTGGAGGGGAAAACCGGATGACCCGGAGAAAAAAAATCCACTCGGGGATAGAGAGAGACGTGCAAACTCCAAATATACAGCAGGCGTCAGGTCGGGATCGAAACCACGACCTCCTGTATACCAGGCGAGGTAGTTAACACCTCCTAGCCACCGCCAAGTTCATCTCGCCGCATTTCATCTTCGTGGCCATTGAGTTGTCTTCACGGCATTCACTCGAGCTGTGCGTCGATCAGGGAGGGCCCCGCAATCGCCAGTCCATCTCTGTCTGTCTCTCTGGGTGGGAGGCAGTAGCCCCAACTCTCTCTCTGTAGACCCCCACCTGTCATGGAGCATAAACCATCATCAAGCCAACTCCGGTCATCTTCGCAGCACCAGCAGCGGCGGCTTTTGGCTGCGAGCCGTCGGACAAAACGGTCACCGCATCGCGCGGCGTTTTTAGATGCGCTTCATGTGGTCGTCTGGAACGCTCTTCCTTCCGATGTTAGGAAGCCATGGGGAGTTACGCACTTTTAAATTAATTTAGATTGAAAATTAATTTATTTTAGAACTGCTCTTCGAGTTTCGTTTGTTGTCCTTCCCGCGCACCTCCGATTGGCGCGGTTGGCTACGTACGGCGCGTAAGAAGTTCAACGTACATTCAAGCACACGTCACGTGCTCTCGTGTCACCTTAAACCAAATGTAATTGTCGATGTTTATATCGAGCGCCTTCACTCAAGGCACCCAATGGCGTAGCTTACAGCGCAGTAACACCGAATGTAATGATGTAGTTGACGGGGGGCGTGCTGCAAGGATTAAGGAATGAGTGACAGCAGCGATCGAGGGGTGCTTGGGGATCACGAAAGGGCTCGAGGGGAGGGACGGGAAGGAGTGGCGGGGCGAGGGGAGAAGGGAGGGGAGAGGCGAGGGGAGGGGAGAGGCTTCAAGAGAGGAACGGATAGCAGGAGAAGGAGGTGGGGACTGCGTAATACTGTCATCTTGGGCGAAATGAACGTCGCTAATTCGAATCCAGTTTAGTCGAACGCAGGGTTGCCTGGCTCTGTGCGGGATCGGTTTGTGATTCCGCGCTGTGTATATGCGGCTCACATATGTCCACCATAAGTCGCTCTATGTGGTTTAAATTCACTCTGCATGCTGCTATGCGGTTGGACGGGAGACAACATTGTGCGTGTGTGCTGTAAGGTCGTGTTACTGACGAATGTGTTGAGTTCTTGAGCATTACTTAGGATGGGCGTAGTGTTAGTGCCTTACGCCAATGATCCCTGCCCCCAAGCCAGCCTACAGCGTTCCGGACAACATCGAGTGAGAGACGAATTCCCGAGAATGGCACGCACAATGAAACTCGCGTATCGTGCGCGTGGCAGGTGGAGTGGTGGCGCAGCGGTGGGCGCACTGCGCTATGAACTCTGCGACCTCGGTTCCATCGATTTCCAGACACGGATATCGTCAGTGGCGAGTAATGTCTGA